GCTAGACTAGGTAATAGATTGCAGGAGCTAAGCAGATTAGAAGCATTAGATGAGCCGACACTTGATCCTGCGATGCGAGAGCTGCGTAACTCGCACCTTTGTGTGGCGGAGACGCAGGTAGTTCAGCAGGAGGTGTTGGCTGAACTAGTGGCAGGCCAAAAACGAATTATGGCTACACTACAGGCTCCTCGTCCAGTGATGAGGCAGCCTCAGTTTGCTGTAGCTCCCCCTTCGGGTGCGGGTCCATCAGTAACGCCGTCGTCGGTAGGGCCTTCATTCTCACCTATGTTGGCATGCCCCCTCCAGGTGGTTATGTCGCGACTAGTGGTCTGGTCCTTAGAGTCTCAGCTGTACCATCGACGACAGTGGTTACTACAGCTCCACTGTCAAGCCAGACCCAGGTTAGTGTGCAGCAACTTGTTTCAGTGGCTATGTAGCCACTGCAGCAATCCCCTGGGCCAATGCAGCCTATGCAGTGGATGCCCAAAATACCCTTGCTGAGTCCTAAGCCCTTCTCCGGCGACAGGAAGAAGGATGAGGACTTGGACACCTGGGTAAGGACGGTGCCTACCTATGTGAGGCACAAGCTTACCAGGCCGGAGCAAGAAGTTGTAGTGGCTGCCTCCTTTCTAGAGGGGTCAGCAGCCCGCTGGTTGAATGGCCTAGTGCAGCAGCAGGGCTACGGTCAGAACTTCGATGCCTGGGCCCAGGCCCAGACATTGGAAGAGTTCGTACGGTGCATGTATAATAGGTGGCATGGCCCACAAGGGGCCCAAAAGGCCACGGACGCGATCAATAGTCTTTGTGCCAGAAGGTACAAGAATGTTAGAGAGCTTACAGATACCGTAGAACGTCTGCTCGCGGTACCTGGTGTGCGCGCTGACCAGCAGGTACTCCTTACGGATTACCTTAGATGTCTGCCTTCAGAGGTTAGGACAAAGCTGGTGGATGAGGCCTATGTCGAACAGCACAACTTCGCTTCATTCAGCAAGAAGGCCTTAGACATGAGGCAAAATTGGGATCTGCGCATCAGAGTCAGGGGGATGGTAGGAAGAAGAGACTACCCCAGGACTGGAAGAAGAAAGGTCAACTAATGTTCGTTGACCACGATGGTCAGGCCACAAAAATTGACGACTTTCCAGACCTTGGGGAGGAGACAGAGCACAATGGGGCCAACGAGACTTCGGATGGGGAAGTCGTGGCACCCATCAAAGAAAAGGCTAGGGGGATCGGGAAGAAGAAGGTAGGCCGGTCTACGGGTCAGGGCGACCAAGGCACGCCCGCTTGGGTGAAACTTGGTTTAGAGTATGAGGTGTGGAGGGACTGAGTCGCTAGGGGCATGTGCATGAACTGTGGCAACTATGGCCACACGTCCCGAACGTGCCGAGGCAAGAAAGTCCTAATGAGGGTAGCCTCTCCAACGGCGGTGGGACTATCTTCGAACCCTAGTGGTGCTTCTGCAAGCACTTCGCAGGGAAACACCTCGGGCGCCATCTATACTCCATATAGTTAAGTAATTGTCCTTCAAGGTCTTGAATTTCCTTAGCCAATTCAATTCGCATTTCTGGGTCCCTTCCCTCATCTTCTGATTGTTGCAATTGATGAATACGTTGATATATTCTAGTTTCAGAAGAATGACGTTCCATCGCCAAAGCTTTCGAGTATTCATTGCATTTACGACTTAAAAAGAGTAACCCATTGTTGAACCAGAGTACCTCATTTCCTATAATAACCTTCTGACTCCTCCAAAATGACCACACATCCTTGATAAATGACCTAAAGGAGTCAATCTTAAGGTGAGTTGTATTAAGTTTATAGAATCCTCTTCCTTGGTCCGACTTCTTACCAAAGGAGAGGATGGCTACGCACATGGCATGATCTAGTCCCAGAAGGGGACTACGTGGAAAGATTTCTGCCATCTAGAGCGCACCTTCCAAATCTTTTGAGATATAGATAAAGTCAATACGAGATTTGGTGAGCGATCTGGCTTCCTTCTAAAGCATGTGAATGTATGCTTAGATGGGTTCAAGCGCCTGAATGAGTCAAAGAGGTTTAAGTTGTGAGCAAAGTTGGACATCATGATCTCATCCGACTCCACATAGGATGGGCAGGGATTAGGAATATTCCATCTATTCGGGGATCGATCCGGAGCAACATTAAAATCTCCTGCTATTATGACCGGAATCCCTATAGGGAGGATAGGGGGGAGGGAATCATAAAAACGTTGACGATCCCCAAAATGCCACATCAGTGAGCTCTCATCATCCAGCGTACAACCCTAATGTCACCACATAGCTTCTTGGCGCGCCCACACGACCCTGGCCGCCTTTCGTTCAACGCCCAAGCCTTACCACTGCCCCACACCTCATGCGAAGCACCGAACAGCTATTGCGAAGAACCAGTGAGCGCAGTTCGAACCCGCTCTGATACCAAATTGCGAAGAAAATGAACAGAAGCGAGATGACAATATTCAGATTGCACAATCACATTGAAAGCCAAATTGTATCACAATGTTCAGAAAGCAGCATTGCACCAATATAACACCAATGGAGAATCGTAGCACTGAAAGTCAATGTCAATGAGAGCTTGCTCTCGCCACCACCAACATATGTATCCAGTCTCTATCTCCCTACTTGGCGCTCGGCGCCCGGCTTACTCCCTACACAACTGCTACTAGCCTACGAATTGACAATGCAACTGTTGACGTCAGCAGCACCTGAAGTACTTGAAGATGTCGCCCATGCAGAACCATCGCCAATACCAGGTATGTGCCCTCACATCATCATCATCATCATCATCATCATCATCCTTCTCTCTCTCCCTTGACTCTCTCCCACGTCTTCCTTTGTTGTACACCCTAAGATCACCCCTGCGCCTCACTGTACATCCAAGCCCTGCCAGATATGGAGGCTGGGTTGTGGTGCTGCCCTCAGCAGTGCCCTGCTCCCTGCACGACCGCACGTGCCTGCACCTCGCCGCTCAGCGCTAGCAGCAGCCCACGAGCTTCAGCTCCAGCAGCGCTGCCGCCAGCATGCGAGTGCCCGAATGGCTGGCCAGGCAGCGAGCTCTTTCCTATATGGAAAGAGCCTGCCTGATTCGACAGCCTGGCTGGACTGGCCTGGGGCCAGAAGCTTTTGGTAGGCCCCAGGTTGCTGCACCTCTGGTGCAGCTACTGGGCCTCATTCGGTTGGGCCTCCCAACTGTCTGTGTATGAGGCTGCAAATCTCGCCCTGGGCCTGTGCTTTCGGAAAGGCCTAGAAGGCCTAGGAATTTCCATGCTACTTGGCCTGTGTTTCCCTTCAACCAACTGCCGCGACGAAACTGCCTGGACCCCAAATGCGAAATTGGCAGCCAAGGGCCTCTCGTGATTTGTTAGGCCCGCCTTCACTTAGGGCGGGCACATATGCTGCAGGGGGTCCCTTTAGGCCTGCCGGGGACCCATATCCTCGCAAAAAAAAAGAAATATCAAAAAAGAATTTAATTAATTCTAACGTGTTTTCAAAATTTTCGAAAAAGAATGAATGAAAAGTAGTTTCAAAATTTTCGAAAAAGAATTAATTAGACGACGAAGACGACGACGAAGAAGAAGAAGAGCAGGAAGAAGAAGATGATGAAAAGAAGAAGACCAAGATGAAAAGGAGAAGAAGAAGAAGAAGAATCGAAGAAGAAGAATCGAAGAAGAAGAAAAGAATAAAAAAAAAATAAAAAAATAAAAAATTGTCGTCGATTACTTATCTGCACGGGGTAGCAACGACGATGACGAGGATGGCACGGCGTGGCGACGAGGACGACGGGCACGGCGATGGTGACGTGGCACGACGACGACGAGCGAAATGGTGACGATGATGACGTGGCACGACGACGACGATCGTGACGATGACGGTGATGACGTGGCACGACGATGACGTGGCACTACGACGACGATCACGATGATGATGCTGATGATGGCCAGGTGATGGCGACGAAGCAGGGTGGGTCCGGCGGGTTCGAACCGCTCCGATAGCAGTGTGACGGGCGTGAGGCTGAGGGAGAGCCGAGGGAGAGGAGAGAGAGAGGGAGAGAGTGAGAGCACACACACACACACACTCACTCACTCGACACGACTGAGGGTCGGACGCGGACACAGTGGCAAGGCACAAAGTCGAAGTCTTGGATTCCGACTGCCGAAACAGCAAGTCACACTGAGTACGAGTACAGCAGCAGAAAACTGGTACGAGACTGGTCCCCGTACCGTACGGGGAGCCGGTATAAGTACCGGTCACACGTATGGAACCAGGGGCATTTCTGCAAAGGCCCCTAGGGCAGAACTGAAAAATGTGGTATTTGAAAGTGGCGCCCGAATTTTTTTGCAGCATGGCGCCACTTGTCCAAAATCCAACGGTACCAAAGGAGGGGTTTGGAAAAAGGGTGCCAGGCCGAAAACGGGATGCAGCCGAAACAGCAAAAAGATAGACCAGGGATCGAGCCCTGGCGGAGTCCGTAACAACATGTCTGTTAAGATGCCCGGGGCCAGAATTTCTTGTAGTTTTCAAGTTTTCCAATAATGTTGAGTGAGATTGAAATACACGCAACTTTTGGCTGCGGGCACCACTCAATATGAAAATGACGAGAACGAAAATAAAGCATAAATGTACTTCAACATATCCCTTCAGATGCCTTCCAAGCCCCTTTTCATACATTTTTCAGCACTCCAGACCCCCTGCGTGCTCAAAAACGTCTTTGGAAACAAGCTCGGGCTTAGCCTCCATTTGCCATGTGCAAAATTACCGACGAATTTACCGTTCTGGTCCTGACCATGGGAGACCTCTCCATGAGCTATTTCTGGCTTGCCCAGATTGCTGGACATGTTGTTGGGGACCTGCTCGGTCCTGGCAAATGGGTCAGGCAGGTGAACTACCTAGTCATATGGCTTCCGGTCAAGTTGTGTTGCCTTGCTCAGCTTAGCGACTGTGGATGTGGGCCCTAAGACTCTTTTCACATGTCTATTTGTTGTCCCACAGCATTCGATCCTGTATTTAAGACGACCTATTGTACTAATGAGGAGACAAAACTTCAAGTGCCAGCAACTTCAGCACAAGGACAGCCAATCACACTGGTGAGCTTTGGACCCCTTAGCTCAGCATCCCTCTTTCACCAGTCTTCTTCATGTTCTTCTCAATTCTCTTCACCTCTCTGTCTCATGTGCCCCCCTTAAGCATTCCATTTTGGAAGGGCCTTTGTACTCTTCAGAATGTGAATCTGGTTCCTTTTTTGACAAGCAAGTGCATGGATGCTATCACAAACACAAAAATTTATCCATCACAATACTCCTTGTTATGGTCCACACTGCTCTCCACAGTTTAAATGTGCATGATGTGAAACGGTTTTCACCTTTGCAGAAGCAGATGCAGATGCCAGGGTTCGATCCCTAGACCTTACGTGCACCCGTGTACAGTATCGAGTAGACCCCGTGTGTTTTGAACCCGCGACCTGTGTTTTAGTAGTGACTCTACCTTGTCATGGGTCCCTGTAGTTGTAGGGGTTCGATCTGTAGATCTGGCAAGTAGGGGTTACAGAGCTGCTAGGCTAGAGGTCTGTAGGTAAGTTGTAGGTCCAGCTGCGTCGAGTACTGCATCGAGTCGGCAGTGTAACGCTGTGCAGTCAGCGGTACCGGTCCAGTCAGTCGCAGTCCAGTCAAGCAAGTACCGTGTGGGACTGTGTGCACCGAAGGCCTGGAGGAAAGGGGCAGACCAGCGACCAACAGAAGTATAAATCAAGAGGCAGCGTCCAGGGATTCATTCATTCGCTGTGTAAGCCATGCGGAAGCGCTGTCTCAAGCGTCTTGTGCGAGGTGGTCTGCAGCGCGCCCGAAGTCGAAGTGGGCTGGAAGAAGTTAGCATAGCCATAGTTAGTGGTTGAGCGGCCATAGCCGCTGTAGGTAGCAGAGAGGTGCTAGTGTGTGAGTGTGTGATACAGAGTGTTAGTGTGTGAGTGCAAACGGTGGTGTTGGAAACAGTATCGAGAGTTGGGATGTTCAGGCGCTGATGCGCCATAGCCTGTTGAAGCAAGTTTGCGTCTAAACTGTGTTCTCGATTTCCATATCTCTGAGTTTTTGAGTGGGCGCTGTGCGCCAGTGTGAATCGCCATGTGTTTGCATGTATGTGAAGCGAAGAAGAAAGCGAGTCTGATTGCAGATGCCTCCCTCCACCTGTATACGCCTCTGCTCTTCCTGTCTATTGTTGTCCAAGGCTCTGCCCTGTGACCTTATTTCAACCCAATTATCTGTGTCCAATTTAGAGAACACTGCAATCATGTGTAATGTGCCTTTGTCAGTGCATCCATATTTACGTTTATTTCTAACTCCTTTTTCTTAATGCTATGCAGTTCACTATCCTTTAAAACTTCCTTTGAGGCTCTATACTACTGGTTGAAACCACCACTCTTTCTGAACCTGACTGCTATGCCCACCACTAGACAAGGGGGGCTCCAGTTTGAATATATGTGGCCTTCTGTAGAAGTGCTGCTCAGAGGGTACCCATTATACAGGTAATAGTGGAAAGTTCAAAACTAGAACAGTTGGCACAGAGCACCTGATTTCTGCGGCCGCATACACCGGCCTGCAGGCACTTCAGTCATTCCCTGGTGCGCCCACAAAGGAAAACTGTGGCCATCAACGTTGGCCATTTCACAGCAATGGTGATGGTTCACATTGGCAGCCACAGTTCTTGTCGGGACTGCCATTTTTTGTGTTACCTTCATTGTACTTATCACTTGTGTTCCAGCAAGAACAACCTCGGCCTTTGGGAAAAAGAGAGGTTAAAAAGCGTGGAGCCAGGTCCGCCCTTCCTCTTTGTCGCTACCTTGATAGGCTCAGAGAGACTTGAGACTTGAGATGGCAGCCGGCCCTGACAAGTTTCCACGTACAGCTTCGCGTCTCTCATCATCGTGGGCGACCAGAACCGCTGCAGCAGATTAGCTGCTGTCTTTTTGTAGCCAAAATGGTCGGTGGCGTCATGACACTCTCCTAAAAATAAACTACGCAAAGGCTCTCTATTTGGCACACACAGACGTTTATTCCCTGCCTTCTCAAGGAACAGCAGTCCGTTGACCAACTCAAACTCAGCAGAAGTCACCTTGTCCTTCGCCTCCAGTCTGCGTATGATCTCATACATAAACTGGTCCTCGCAATAGGCTTCCACCAAAGAGCGAGTGACATCTTCCGCGAGCTCGAACTCAGTGATCAGCGCACCAGAGAAATCAGGTCTGCGCGATAAGGCATCAGCAACTTTGTTGTACTCCCCTTTGCGATACTGCGGTTTGAAGTCCTACTGTTCAATGACTACGATCCAACGCGTCAATTCATCGGAGAGCACTGGTTGGGTTCTCATCCACTTCAGGGTCTGATGATCAGTCTTGACGATGAAGAACCTCCCAAGGAGGTAATGTCTCCAATGGGTCTGTGCCTTGTAAATCGCGTAGAGCTCTTTCTCATAAGTGGACTTAGCCAACTTCTGAGACGTCATCTTCTTGGACATGTACTCAACTGGCCTCAACTTTGGCCCCTCCTGCAACGCGAGCACGACGCCTATGCCATATTGGCTAGCATCCGTGGTTACTATAAACGGCTTGTGAGGATCAGGAAGTTTCAGGACCTCATGGTGCGTCAACGCATGCTTCAGATGTCTGAAAGCAGCCTCGCACTTGTCAGTCAAAGGGGAGGCCACCATGCTATAGTTCTTTACAAAATTGCGGTAGTAGCCGATCATCCCTAAGAAAGACCTCCACACGTCCTCACTAAGACCCGCTTTCTCCCATGGAGGAGCGTTTGGGTCAACTTGACTCCTAGACCGGGAACCTCCATGGCGTCTACCGGTCGCCTTACCTTTTTGAGCTACGACAATGACTACTCCACTCCCTGAAGCTTCTACGCTGCCAGCCTCTGAACCCATTCCCGCCTGGAAGTCGTCATCCAACTCGATGGTGGAACCATCGTTGTCGACGAACATGATGCGCCCATTCGCTTTCCAATTGGGAGGCAATGACTTTTTCCTACCATCCATCGTGGGTGTTTGACTATGCCCTATCTTTGCTTCCAGTTCTAGGGCCTTTTGCTAAACGAGGGGAGGTTGTGCATGTTGATGTTGGCCTCACCTGCCGACTGATTCCTGCGAAACCTGGGGGTCATAGCGCACCCCAGGGACACAGATCAGACGCTCTACTGCGTCAATGGCCTCTATTACTGACTTAAATTGCTTGGTATGCAGTGTCAGGGTCGCGTTAGTAGCCTCTTGGGCCTCTTGAGGATCATGCCACCTGTCTTCCACCAACTTGAGGAAGTCATCCAGTTTCTAGGTGACCGCCCAAGCGCGAAAGTCATGACCGTACCTCTGTAGCTGCACTAAACCACTCAACCATCTTGCTGCACTCCCCTCTAGATAAGAGGCAGCCACAAGCACTTCCTTGTGCGGCAAGGTAAGTTTGCACTTGACATAGACTGACACTATCCTCAACCATATGTCGAGGTCTTCGCCCCTCTTATCCCCTGTAAAGGGCTTAGGAGCGGTGATGGCCATGTTTGGAACCCACTGACTTTGTACCGGTACCTGCACCATTCCGGACTGTGGACCCTGTGGTGCAGGCTGTTGCACTAGCTGTTGCTGGGGCTGTGTACCTTATGGTTGTGCAGGCTGCGAGATAGCAGGCTGCCCGCTTACGGCAACCTGTGACGGAGGTTGGGAGAACACTGTCTGTACAGGAACCTGTACACTAGGACCTGTTGAGAACCCTCTTGGAAACGGTTTGGACCGATGCTGGGGAGAGAGTCACCGGTGGGACATAAGGAGGAGGTTGTACAACGGGCATGGCACCAGGCTCGGACAGCGATGGTGATGCCGGCGCTCGCCCGACCAGCAATGCCAGATTTTGCTGGATGTCCTGAAGGAGAGCCGTGTGATGGTGTTGCATCTGTACAACACCTAGCAGGGCTGTCCGCAACGTCCTCACATCATCATCCATGTGCGTCAGGTCCATTCCCTCTAACTCACTGATGTTCGCTTGTCTCCGCTGCATCCTGACTCTTCTTCTAATCATTCTTTCCTTCTTCGCTTTTATCTCTCCTAAGGCCTTCTGTAGTTGTGCCTCCTGCAGTACTGCCTGTTGTATGGCGATCTCATTGGAAGTCAACACTAATGGCTGGCTTGCCATGACGCCAGTGGACTGACTCAGGGTCTGCACGACCGTTGACCCCACGGTCCCTGAACTGCTAGCCTGGGAACTCTGTTGCGCAACAGTTGCCATGGCTGCTTGAAGTTGCGGCTTCGCTTGCGAATGCCCTGCTGGCCTCTGCTGCCGTTGCCTCTCCCTAAGTTGGCGGAACAGTAACCTATCACCCTCGGGTCCTAATGCCACGTGGGCAATCGGGCGTCTCGCCGATCGCAAGATCCGATCGTCCTCACTAGTGGTATCCCTATCGCTCATAAGCTACAGAACTGTACACAATCTGCACTAAGACACTCTTTGATGCTTACCACAGAGTAGTGCACAGACCGACTTATAATTAAACTAATTAATCGGTGGCTGCGTCAGAGAGTATATACATTTGGGTTCAACAGGTAAGTTCAGGTTCCAACAAACAAAACTATTTTGACTTTGACTAGTTCGCAAACAGAAGCACAATGAACAAAAAACAGTTCTAAACTATGATGTCTGTCAGATGTTAATGGTTGTACATCTAACTAATCAAAATAAAAATACAATCATTTGTTGGGTCTGTTTGCAGAGTGGAATCTTGCCCAAACTTATCACCTGGAATCTACCCCTCCCTCAGTTCTTCCTGAATGTCTCTTGTCATCAAGGTCCTTGAGCAATCCGGACAGCGTGCGTGTCTAAAGGTGTGCACATGGCCCACCCCTGTGCCCCGAGTCCTACTGAGCTGGCCAGCCCTGCACAGTCTTTATCCTCGTGTGCAGCGAGCCTTACACGGACCGATTGGCTGATCAAGAGGCGTTTTTATGGACGGCCCCCAAAGTCCTCAGGAATTATTTAACGTCGCAAACAGGACAACGATCACAGCCAATGGAAGGTACCCCGCCGGTGCTTATTTATAGACGCTCGGTC